CAATAGTAGTATATTGCACGAAAGCTTCCTTCATGATGGAGGACAATATCAGGCAATGATTAAAAATTAACTTTTGATTACTTATTATGTGTAGGTCAAGGCGGCCATGAATGCCACCCTCGCCTATCGTCATGAGCTGTGCGTCATGCTTTCAAGAACAAGATCATCGATAAGCGTCCAGTCATTGGGGAGGGGATCAGAATAATACTGCTGCTCTTCTGTATTGATATGGTACGGGTATCTGATTAGGATATGTTTTCGATGCCTCCCTGGTTAGTGCTCCAACTATGTTCCACCCGGAGGTCCCAGGGTTGACCCAGGACACGCTGGAGACTCCTGGTAGGCCTTGAATTCAAACGCCCGGGTAGTGAGAACTCTCCTGTCTGCCCTGCTACCATAACCAAATGGCATGTCTCGTACTGACATCTAGCGGTGCACATTACAACTGCTCACACCAAACTGTGGAGAAACAACAACATAGTGCAAGTAGCTTGCTTGGCCTCAGTCGTTTTTGAACTATAGCTGTTCTTTCCAATAAATTCAATACACTGAACGATATATTGCATAGTCTATTTCAACAATTATTACTTTAGCCACAATAACATTTGTTCGAAACAAAACTCTTCATGCATTAATAATAAGCAGAAAATGAGCACACCTGAAGCTGGTGTGTAACATCCATTTATTACCAGTTTGTATGACAAATTTGGAAATTACAAACATCGCTTTATTAAAACTCCACCACTAATGTTTCAATGAGGGAACACGAGATTAAAAAAAAAAAAAGTGGTATGGTAACAACTACACCTTGGAACCAGTAGACAGATGATCAAATAACAGGAAGGGAAACAAAATTCAAATGGAAGCAGAGGGAAAACTGATACAGAGAGGGCAACAATATTTGAAGAAACACTACACCTCCCATTTTGTTTACAAAAAAACAAAAACAATACCCATTTCCACCTCTGAGAACAGTCCTTTTGGAACTATAATCTCATAAAGTTTTATGTAATAGAGCGAGCCAAGAATATGAACGTATTAGCACGAATGACTCTCTCAAGCTTTGGCTAAACATTGAAAGAAAAGCAAAAGAAAAAAGAAGTAATAATAATAATAATAATAATAATAACAAAAATGTTGAGGTCCATTTCTTAAAGGAAAAGAGGGACAATTATAATCCTATTTTAGTTTATTCTCCATGTTGCAATGATTGCAGCGAAAACAAATATCCACAGTGTTATTTGAGGGAAATAAAAAGAATATAAAGATCAAAAACCATCAATAAGTGTTGTGTCCAGGGATGTGGATGGATTGCCTAGAGATCTCTGTGGATGATCAGAGCTAACACTCATCCAGACAAATTCAGGGACAGAGAGTCCAGCTGAGACCGGTGTTGAGGTCTCTGCACACCTGGGAGCTGAGGCTGGTGCGTAAACAAGAGCAGAAGAGGATCATCTCGCACCCTGCTGGAAAGAAGTCAGAAGAAGAAGCACATCCTCACAGCGGATCAACTCCCCATCCTCTGTTTGCCCCCACCGAAATTTGCACTGTGGTGATTGGTGGTATTCTCATCTTCATAGTCTTCGCCCCACCAGAGAGTCAGTGAGTGTCCATAAGGTGACCTCATTACCAAAGAGTTGATACATGCACATAAAAAAAGGGGGAGGTACCATAGAAGTCTTCTGTTGAGCACGCTATGAAAAACAGGACTACACATTTGATTAATACAAACAGTATTCCCAACATACTACCAACACGGGAGAGAGGAATGCAGGGATGGACAAACAGATGGGTGAAAAGTAGAAAGATAAAGTGAGAGCATTTAGGCACGCTCCCCACGGATGCGACGTGCCAGCTGGATGTCTTTGGGCATGATGGTGACACGCTTGGCGTGGATGGCACACAGGTTGGTGTCCTCAAACAGACCCACCAGGTAGGCCTCGCTGGCCTCCTATGACCAAAGAAAAATAGAGAGGCCTTTTAGTGAGATGACATCACCACATTGAAACGCTTCCACATCTTCACTGAATGACACGTACCTGCAGAGCGCCAATCGCTGCACTCTGGAAACGCAGGTCTGTCTTGAAGTCCTGGGCGATTTCTCTTACCAAGCGCTGGAAGGGCAGCTTGCGGATAAGAAGTTCGGTGGACTTCTGGTAACGACGGATCTCACGCAGAGCAACGGTACCCGGCCTGGGGGAAAAAAAAAATGGGGAAACATGATGATGAGGCGCGGAGACGGTTGATATTAGTGTACAGTCCCTTAGCCAATTAGGAGGCAGAACACAATGCACTGTTAAAAAAAAATTAATAAATAAAAAATCTCTCTCTCTCTCTCTCTCTATTTGAGTTTTTCAAAATCCTTGGTTGGCTTTCCAAAGCATGTCAAATAAAGTCATGGGCAGTGTACAGGCTATCTGGTATGAGTCCATAAAGCAGCATGGAAAAAAGCTTACAGTCTGAATGTTTGGCTGACTGACGATGATATCAGATCTAGACTTGTGACTCTTTGTAATCGAAATATAATGATAATTTTCAGTTCTGGGATCACTTTAACGAGTCTATTTCTCCTTTTCATCTTATGTTTTCATGCACTGCGGCCTCCAGGAAAGGAAGTTGTCTCACAGAGCAATACATGTAATCACGCGCGAGCTAAACAGAAGGAAATGACGAGGAAAACAGAGGACACTCGGACATCCGTGGTTACGTACTTAAAATGCCGTCAAATATGGATGACAATGTGCTCATTTGAAGACAACAATGTTCATCGTATTGTTTGTGTTCCATCTGGAACGGCAAAAAATAAATGAATAATAAAGATAATAATTAACAATAAAATTAACATTTTGTTCTTTCTATATTGTGCCTTTTTACCCATTGAAATGCATTGTAGAGGGAAATAGGTTTTATGCATTATTCAGTTTGTAATTAATTGACCAATTAATCGGAAATCAGTATTTTCTTCCTGCCAAAAATAGGCATAGGCTGAAAAAACCCCAATAATGTCCCAGCAAAAATTATTCATACAAAAAAGAAATACATTTTGACATATATGAGAAGTAATTTTAAAAAATGCACCTGTAGCGATGAGGCTTCTTCACACCTCCAGTGGAAGGGGCGCTCTTCCGGGCAGCCTTTGTGGCCAGCTGCTTACGTGGAGCTTTACCTCCAGTGGACTTACGGGCAGTCTGCTTGGTACGGGCCATTGCTACTTAATTAAGATTGCCTGAGGATGATGGAAACAATATGAAGACACATTTTATCTTGCATCACTTATTATTATTGTCACTAAATAAGATGCTTTGGAAATACTGATTCGTTTCCTTCTTTCATACTTTATGTGATTGATGTATAACTCAAGGTGACACCTTCCCAATGTGGAGCAAGATGAAGAATCGAAATATTCCACACAGCTCTGACTATGGTGCTCTGCAAGCGAAACTCTGATCTATGACCATGTCTGGGAATACTGTGCATTAGTGTATTTCAAATGGCAATCATTTGGTACAGCTATTGTATTGTATAAGTCACAATAGCGAGGCAAGTATTCATGTTTTGGCCACCGAATGCAGTTTAACGTTTCGAACTTCAAGAAATTATTACGTCATTCACGCATGAGACGTCAATCAAAATAGAAAAGCTACACTATTAGCCATTACAGCCAAGACTCAAATGTAAATATGAAAAATAAGCCAATCAGCGCGTTCGTCTTGGTAAGTAGGCGGACCTCGCGGTTGCTTCCAATGTTTGGAGGCCCGCCTCCCTCGCTCTGGTGATGGCGGCGGTTTGATGCGCAAACGGAATGAAGACCAAGGCAGACTGAGCAGCACGTAAACAACTTCGATTTCACAAGTTGCCGATACTCCCGGTTAACAGGAGACGAAAGAATTGTACAGAAGAGATTCCTAAGGATTTCAGGAATATTTAAAGCAGACTTGAACGGCCCCTTTAGCAGTACAGCGCCGAGTGGAACCGGCGCACAATTCGAAACAGAAATTCGCCTCGTCGGAGCAGCTGTAGAAAGACTGCGACTTCACTGTCGTCGTCTCCTCCGCGACGCGTTATTTTCAAACACGACAAATACTAACGTTTATTCAAAGAAAACAGTAACACGGGAACTGACTTAAGTTACACTACCAATTCTAAAGTTAATTGACGACTAGAATAGCGCATATGAAATGACTTACCTCAGGAAAAAGTGAACAGAAGTGGTGAGAAAGCTTTCGCTTGCCTATTTTCTTCTTCGTATCCACAATGAGAGGTAGCGTCCAGCGGGTAAAATGGCCGCCGCATCAATCAAGTGTCCCAAAATGCAACAGGGTTGAAGTCATTTTTGGTTAGGGTCACGTTTCACTTGCGCTTGATTCTCAGACTAGTCTCAACGTGTTTATCAACCACACTCGCTTCTGTTTGTTCAAAAACTCGGCGCTCGTTGTTATGATTTAGTGAGCTGCTTTGCCTCTTATAATTTGTCCGCATGTGTGTGATTTCCGGTAGTAAATTGAGTGCCATGGGAAAAGAAGTTACTTCTCGTGACAGTAGTTTTTATTTATGTGGCGTGTTGTAATGTTTATGTGGCGTGTATGTAAAATGACATACTAATTTGATGTAATGTTTATGTGGCGTGTATGTAAAAGGACATACTAATTAAAGTAAAACCTGCAATTGTAATTATTCTATTTTGTAAAATTACATTTTTGGAAAAAAACAAGTTTTGTTTTTCAAACGTAATTTGCAACTAACTTGTTTATTTTTCTTCCTGCCTTATCAAACTATTTTATCAGCGGGTTTTTTTTTAAACAATATATAACAGCAGCAACTCTGCTGCATACATGGGCTGTCCCAAGTACCCAATTACTACCTTCTTGGGACTTAATGTAATATAATCATGTAATGTGATACTATATTGCAGACACTCAGGATATTTATGACAGCAAAATGTGTTTATGTCATTGTGAATAAAATGTTAAGATTCAATATGAAAGACAGGATACAATTACTCTATTTAACCACAATAAGTTTTATTTATGTTTGTATGTGAATTTTGGAGTACAAATGTTTTAGCCTTCAAAATGACCAAAAACACAAATAAAAAAAACAGTAGAAAAAAATAGGTTATCGACCTGAGAGAGAAACAAAAAAATCAGAACATTGCATGAACATAATAATGTGGTGAAAGCCAAGTGTAAAATTAAATCGTGTCTGCTACATATATGCCGCGTAGAAGTGTCAAACCATGTTGTCATTATAGTGCAATGACATTTGAAATTGACAAACAGAATAAAGCATTTGGATACAATATTAAACACCACTGTTGTAAAAATAGAACTGACTGTGTTTGTGTCAATTTTAAAATTACAAAAAAGAAAAAAAACAGAAGACCCATGATATCAATGAATATGTCCATTTGAAGGTGAAAATGTCTTAACGCTATGTACTATACTCATTCCAGGTTACACACTACTTATGGCTAGCAAAAACACAGTATTCATAGCAATAGCTAAAGTGAGGAGTGTAAAGTTTCAAATGTAAATGAAGATATATCGAAAGAAACTCTTCTACTTGTAGCACCAACCAAGACATAATCACACATTGACAGTTATCACAGTCATAATATATTGAGAACCTCAAACCAAACTACTATCTATGTAGGGAGAAGGAAAATATGGTGATGGGACAAGAGAAGAGCATTTCATGAGAAAGAAAAAAAATTTAGGCACGCTCCCCACGGATGCGACGTGCCAACTGGATGTCTTTGGGCATGATGGTGACACGCTTAGCATGGATTGCACACAGGTTGGTGTCCTCAAACAGACCCACCAGGTAGGCCTCGCTGGCCTCCTATGACCAAAGAAAAATAGAGAGGCCTTTTAGTGAGATGACATCACCACATTGAAACGCTTCCACATCTTCACTGAATGACACGTACCTGCAGAGCGCCAATCGCTGCACTCTGGAAACGCAGGTCTGTCTTGAAGTCCTGGGCGATTTCTCTCACCAAGCGCTGGAAGGGCAGCTTGCGGATCAGAAGTTCAGTGGACTTCTGGTAACGACGGATCTCACGAAGAGCCACGGTCCCGGGCCTGTAGTAGACAGGAGAAGTGTTGCGCTTGGTTTCCTGAGGCTTCACATCAATCCTTGAGGGCAATCCTGAATAGGTCTGCTAATATAACTAAAACATCATAATGGAGCAACTGAAATTTACACCTGCAAGGTGTTACTGAAGATCATTATAGTCTTGTCTGACCTAAATGAAGAGTCGCCTGGCTCTCACCTGTAGCGATGGGGCTTTTTCACACCTCCAGTGGAAGGGGCGCTCTTCCGGGCAGCTTTTGTGGCCAACTGCTTACGTGGAGCTTTACCTCCAGTGGATTTACGGGCAGTCTGCTTAGTACGGGCCATTGCTCCTGTGGATCAAAGCTGAAAGTATACAACGTTTTGGTTCAATTAATGCATGCCAAATTATAAGTTTAATGTGAATATACTCTTACGGTTGAGGATATGGCGGGCATACACATTGGAACAATAATACAAAAGTAGTATGTTGTGTAAAAATTAACATTAGGAATGCTTTTATTCGGATTGAATGTGCGCGTCAAAAATGTTTTTCTATTTTCGGGGCAGTGGAATCGCAGAATGTCTTGCGTCATAAATGACAAGGGAATCGTCCAATCACGAGCGAGCTTGAGGGCTGTTATGGAGGTTTCGACCAATGACAACAGCATTGCTGAAAACCCTCCCATTGCGCACTAGTAAGGGTATGTTCGTTTCGAAGCACGACTAATCCTTATGTGGCACTAGCGTATATTTTCCAATTCAAAAAGAGCTATTTTAGAAGAAATCCAAGTGACACCGCCCCTGTTGGCTGCCCTATGTAGAAACACCAACACACCCGCACATAATGGCTGCCTACTCTGCCATGAAGAACGTAAACGGGAAGGAAAATTCACTAGTGATCGCAATGGTGGTGAAAGAAAATGATCGAATTGTGTCATTCCCGTCGAATGAAAGTGGAATATTATTTTTGAAGACGACATTAGACATGTCAAGGGTCCACTTGGTGGACATTATTTTGTCAGCTGACCCTTCAGTCAAGGCGCACTTCCGAGACAAAATCGAGCCGTCACGAAAGCTTCTCAGGTTCTCTTTCGCAGCCAGATCAAGGCTCGACGGCTCTACGTTTTATTTTGTTTTTAGCGAAAATCAAGGAAATATACGTCCATCCGAAATTCTGAACCGCTGGAAATCATAGATTGATGTTCGAGTGGAAATGTGATTCTTACCTTTGAATTTTTTTGTGAGAAATTGCAGCTTTCAATTGGGATTTAATTTGTTGAGTCTCTTACGCGTTGTTCTCGCAACAAAATGAAGGGAGGGAAAAAAAGAAAAAGAATATTGGAGCCCGTTTGGAGGGAAGTTTCCCATGATGCATTTGGGACAAACACACATGCCGCAACATGCTTACCAACAAAGACACCATGCGAACCTAACCATATTCTTAGTTTAAGAAATTATACATTTTAGTTAACTTTTCAAAAATATTATTGGTTTTCAAACTACATTTCACTTGGAAAGAACGTGCACCTAAACTCCGATTTTATAGTCATGGGCCTAATGTTATAAAGCATTTTGTGTTTTAAAATATTTTATTTGGGTATTATTGTAACAAATATAAACGCACTATTGCAATTTACAGCCAAACCGAAAGGGGCACTTAATAATGTTGTATTACGTGGAATATATCATATGTAAGAACATTTTTCATAGACAACTGGAAATAACGGTCAAACCTACTATACGACATATTAGAATAATTGTGCTGTATGTACTCTTACAGATTACATATACAGTAACGCAGGCTGTGTAGTAGTTACGATATCAATCCTCTAGAGGGCGCCAAAATCAGTTTCCACGCAGTACACCACAACAGCCATGAAAGAAGAAGACACGTGTTTAATTTTCTTTCCACTCCAACATGGCGCCTTCCAGAAGGTTGAAACGCGTGGTGGCATCGCAGCCAGGTTTTTTAAGTTTAAAGTCCTCGGATCTTACAGGCGAGGTTAGTAGTCGAAGAAAGCGCGTTAACAAAAATAAGAAAAAAAACTGGAACAAACACAGCGACATTAATGACGTAGAGGATTTTTTAGAAGACATCAGGCATCAGGAGAGGACCACCGGGTGAGTTGGCCTTCCGCGTACTTATTGTGAAACGTTAAATAAAATTCATTGAGAAAATACGACAGATCTCCCGTGTCCACATATCGTCCATATTTTAACGCGTGTTGACACGACTCCACATTATACGCATGCGAAGTGTGTTATTTAAATGTTATTATTTGTTGCAGTGGCCTGTTGGCTGACAAGTCGGATGACAATTTGTTCTTTCTGGATGTTGGGCAGCAACCAAAAGATCACAAAGGTAACCAAACAGAATAATATCAGTTCGGTATTACGTTACAATTTCATGTTTTGCATTTACATTGAAACTCTTTCGAAATAATAGTTGGGAACATACTGAACCAAATCTTACAATTTTATCTTTGAAGCGTCGGAGCAAGTGCAGGGCAAGAAGAGGAAAGGGAAGTCACAGCGTCCTCTCAGGATAGACCTGATCCTCCAGCATGACTCACTTGTTCCACCAATTAAAGAGTCAGTATGCATCACTTACTGATTTCTGTCAAATTGGATTGCCAGTCCCTCATTTTAAATATGGTGAATTTAATCTCTTGTGGTCTGCAATATTTGTAAACATATTGTATGTTGTTGAAAATATTCCAAAACATTAGACCTGAACAGATTTTGAATTGTTTTGAAACCGTTTGCCCAGTGATGATCTCATCCTTGCGCTCCCAGTATTTCCTTTTTGGAAATGTGAAGACAACATATAGGAGCTCAGGAAACTATTGTGTGAATGGTATCTTGGGATCTGAGGGCATCCAAATACTAGTGGTGTAAATTAAATACATTTAAACCAAATGTACTTGCTATGAATTATTCTTCCTCTGCTTGTTCACCACACAAACTGATAATCTCCCCTCTGTATGCTTCACCAGTGTACTGTCCTACCAACAGCCCAATGCAAAGAAACTTCGTGGTCATGCCAAGAGGCTAGAGCAACTTGCAGCCAAAGGCGTAGTACCACGGACACAGAGAATGCTCCTCAACAGACAGACGTTGAACACAACAGCTAAAAAGGCGGCGACAGAGGCCAACAACAACCCAAAGAGAGATTATTATGACATTTGGGGTCAAGAGTGTAAGTGAACTTTTTTTGTTCAACAATGATGTCATACATTAGCCTGCTCTCTATTCTGTTTATTGGAAGAAGTGACCAAATCACATGGAACTGTGGGGGGAGGGGGGTAATCGAAATGTAATTTCTTCAAGAGCTCGACTGTTTTTTTTTTTTTTTTTTTGTCATGTGATGTTCGTTGTCCTTCGTGTGGACCCGTTGTGGACCGTTCTCAGCATTAAGGCTGTGCTATTTGTTGAAGGAGAGTCGGGTTTGTTTTCTCAGCAGTATGTGTGGACCAGAACTGATTTTAATGGGGGAAATGTCCGCGCTATTTGACGGTCGCCGCTTCACTGACGCCAGGTGCTAGTATTGTTTTGCACTTGTGATGGGCACCATTTTTACAGCCCCATTTTTGTCAGTGGAGATGTGGGCGCTGTTGGACAGTCTGTTTTGGGTGTGGCTGGATGGATGGATAGTGCAGCTGAGGAGGATGAAAGAGGAGCGTCAGCGCCGAGCGGGAATGTGTATTTGGAACGCGAGTGTCGGCGTTTGGAATTGAAGCGGGTCTAAATAGGACAGGGGTACTGAATCAGGCTCTCTATTTGTCAATGGGTGCAGTGACAGTGTGGCAACATGCACAAGTTGACTGTGCCGCAAAGCTGATCCTCGGGGTTTCTTCGCTTGTCTTGCTGATTGACAATGGTGCAAATCATGCTTGCTAATTTCTTTATAAGAATCCACTGTGGGTTAAAGTCCTTCCTTTATTGTCCATGCCTGAGATGACAACGTGGTTTTCCTTGATGAATTTTGGAGCTGATGTTCAGTTGGTAGGGAATGTTAAGATTGCCTGATCTAAAATAATCCTCCCGTTTTCTTTGTCTGCCACGCTGGTGTGATCAAACGAGCCCAAAGTAGAAGCTCGTTGGGGTTTGATTTATTTTCTGCACCATTTGAAGATGGCCTTTGGAGGTGTCCTGTGGAATGCACACCGCTCAATTTAAATCTCTTCAACATATTGCCGAGGCAGAGAGTACAAACGTTAAATTATCGAGTGAAGCCGGTTGCCGAGTTAGTATTTGCTCTGCACGCCTATTAAACTACGAGACGGTATGTGCAACCATTAATGGTTGAGAAAATCAGGACAATGCTGACCAGTTTTTAGGCTCTTGGTTGTTGACAATCATTTTTTGAAGTCACATTTTTATATTTTATTCCGAATTTTTTTTCTTTCTCGTTTTTGTCCTCAATATGTAATCAGGCTGTTTGTCATGTTTCATGATTACTCCAATAAACACTTTCGAAAGATAGAAAGAAAAGGAGTCTTTGACATTGCACATTTGTCAGCTACAATGCTCAAAACGTTTAACGGGCAGCTTTTAAAGTGTAGTTGTGCCAAGCCGTACTATTTACTTGTTGAAAAGACTTAAGTGGTAATCCTCAGTTTGTCTTTGTGAACAGCGAAAAGTTCAGCAGATCCATGGTACCTTCAGCAGACTGGCAAGAAGCTGGTCAAGGTAAGAAACCATATCAAACAGTAGTATCCCAATATGAATCCTTCCTACGTAGTAATCTCTTGGTTTATATTGCGGTAGCGGCCAGAGGAATTGAACAAGAAGCCATCCGTGCTACCTGCAGTGGAGGTAATCGCACCTGGAGGTTCCTACAATCCAGACTTCTTCTCTCATCAGGTAAGTTTTCCTTCTTCTGTAGCTTGACTCAAAGAACTATTAATGCAAACGACCTGACTCGCACTCCCTTGTGCCCGATTGATCGGATTGTGTTTGTTTGATTAAGTGTAAACACTGTTATTGATTGTATAACTGGCCAATTAATCGATCCAAATCTTTATCGGGATAAATATCGAAATCGGCATGGGTCTCAAGTCAGTGGACACTGTGAAGGGGTGGTTATGTAAATTAGCCCCACTACAGTGTATTAGTGGGGCCTTATGAATCCCATTGTGGTTTTAGGCAGCCCCCCCTCCACCACTGCAGTATGATTGGCTGCTTCATGCAGGCAGAAAAGGTGGGCGTCATAGATCAAACAGGATGACCATTCCGAATATGCCTCACATTTGTGCAAAATAAAAATAAGTTTGTTTGGGTTAAAGTGGGTTAGGGTTAGCGGTGTTCATAACGCTTCAGTGCCCTCTGAGTCTGGACGCAGGAGTGCAGATCCTGCCTGGTAGCAGCAGCAATTTTAACACTAACTCACTGCTAGGTAGCTGACTCACCTCAGTCGTCACCTGAGCAGGGCACAATTTGCATTTGGCTCAAAGTGTTTACTGTATAGTATTTCCACACGGCTGACATGGCTTGCACCTGGAAGATCATGGCAGGCTGAAGTGGTATCGGTGACCTTAATATCTGTGCATTTTTACGCACACCCTTCAGATATATGCTATCGTCACAGATATTGGTATGGGTGTTTTTCTACTTTGAAGGAATTTTTGATTCATATTTCTGAGTGTGTCCAGTGACCATCCTTACACTTCAAGTACAGTATTTCCGTTTTGAAAATGATAGTGTAAATGGTATCTTGAGATCTTAGGATTTGCAAACCTGCAGCTAGCTATGTAAATCAAATATATTTCACCAAATGTGCTTGCTACTTTTTATTTATTGAATAATTTCTTCAACACCTTGTCAGTGCGTCTTTCTCCTCATGTAAGCGCCACTCATGGACGCTAATCTTCCAGCATTAGGATAGTCAAATATAACTCATGGACTTCACAAGATATGAATGGAAAAATTCAAGTTAACATATGAAGGATATTTGCTCTTAAATCAGCAGATAATAAACAAAAGACTTGCATGATCGCATGTCCTTCCATTTTGAATACAGGCTTTACTGCAAGAAGCCCACGATGTGGAGGTTAAGAAGCGGAAGGCGGAAAGCAAAATTGAGAGGCAGCTCGCTGTCAACAAGGAAGACAGAGCAACAGAGGTACTGAGTCCGTCTTGCTCCACTATCACTCTTGGATCTCAATTTGGGGCAAGCCTTGATTGTAACCATGTGTTTGTGTCTGCAGGAGACGATCTTCCAAGAGCAAGTGGAAGGCTTGGTAGAGGAAGAAGAAGAAAAAGAGGTGGCTGCTGTCGAGGAGGAAGAGCAGGTGGCTCCTGTCGAGGAGGAAGAGCAGGTGGCTCCTGTCAAGGAGGAAGAGCAGGAATGCGTGGGAGGAGCCATCACACTGGCAGAGAAGAAGACTGAGAAACAAAGGAAAAGAGAAAAGGCGGAAAAAATTAAGGTGCTTACAGAGTTATTACATACAAAAGGTAGCTTCATGTTCAAATTGGTTTCGCGTGGCTTTCAGTAATCCGTCTTGTCTTTAACTATTGCAATTCTGGATGCAGCTCTCCTAATGCTTGTGAAATGTACAAAAAGCGAGCATGTGGCATTGGTTGCCATCTTTGCATCTTTTGTTCCAACAGGAGCAACTGCGGGTGGCAGAGAAAAATCAGAAAAGCAAACAACAGCAACTCTTCCAGCTTCGTTCCATCAAAACCGCGATCAAAAAACGAGAAAAGAAAACCGCTGCAAGACAGAAGCAACGCAAGGCCAAAATGGAGGCCCAGAAAGCTCAGCCCAGGCGCCTTGGCAAACTCAAGTATGCACTTAACATGCTCCTCTAATCTGTCTCAGTCTGTTACAAAGCTTTTCTGTGATGACATGGGGAGAGCAGTTGCATTGTGGTGCATCCCTTAAGTCCCCAAATGCAGTTTTAACAAAACCATTAAACCCCACCTTCTTTGGTAAATGACCTCATCCCTCTAGTGACAAAATGTCAACCTCACCACTGGGATACATTAGATTTCTAGTCGAATATACCAAATCACATTTATTCGAGAGGATATTTGGCGTTATTTTTTTACCCTTTGAAACAATTTACTGGTGTCTTAATGAAAGGTTTCTGACATTCTTCCATCAAAATACACAAAGGAAAAAGAATTACAATGTAGTTGACATCCACCTGCCACACTGTCGTATTTAGTGATTGCCCCTTGCCCCAAACGTTCCCCCCTCACAACAATTTTTCCCCAAAATGGCTTGCAAAAAATGTTTGCGGTGGTAGTGGAGGTTTCTGTAAACTGAGAATCCCACCAGAGCAGGAGGAGAACCGTTGGTGCTGGCGAACACATTTTAAGCAGCTTGCACATGATTTACCAGTACTTGATGATTTCACATTTACTCAGAAGTTAGTTTTTCTCATGTGAGAATCTATTAGTATGCCATCGTTCTAATGAGAATTGGTTTTGACTTTTTAACCCTGCTCAAGTTTTGTTTGTGGGAAAATTGTTGAACAGTCTTGCTCTCTTTCTAATGTGTATTAGCAGTTAGCTAGATAAGCATTTTCAACTGTACTTGTCCTCTTCTGCTCAAGGTTATCCAGTTGTAGATTTTTGTGTTTAAAAAAAAGAAAAATCAATTTATTTGGCAGATTACAATGACCAGATGTCACTTTTTTTTTTCCTTTTCAGGTTCCAGCCTGAGGACCTTGAAATCAAACTAAGTGATGAGCTCACCAGTACCTTAAGACAGCTAAAGGTACTGCTTTCCAATCAAAGCTTGCCTGTTACTAGCCGGGATAGTATTGCCATTAATTGTTGGGTTTCGATGAATTTCCCCACGTGTTTACAGTATTTTTTAGACCATATTTTTTGGTTTCACTTTTTTTCTTAGTTTGGCTCTGCCTCCTACAAATACTCAAGTTTGACTAAAATTAGAGCCCAGACAGGCAACCTATGTTATAAACGAGCGGTGCCCGAGTCCAGTCCTCAGGAGCCACTACCCAACCTGTTTTAGATGTCTCCCTCTTCCAACACACCTGATTCAAATGATCAGCTCATGAGCAAGCTTTGAGAAGCCTGATCATGATCCCGATCATTTGAATCAGCTGTGTTGGAAGAAAACAAAACATCCTGGATCGAACCTCTCGAGGACCGGACTTGGGCACCCCTGTTACAAACAAATCTGCACCTCATGAGTGAACTGTTTCCATCTGTACTGTCTGATGTATTGGACTCCGGTGCTCCTTTTTTGGGGCACTCTGTATAATCAGACGGTACATTTGAACAGCACCGAGTTTTCAAACTCTTGGAGTAAAGCAATGCGCACTCTGAGTGTATTTCCAAACACACCAACGATTAGGCAACTGAAATTTTAAGTGCGAGTACAAACTTTACTTCTTTGTCTGTTTTTGTAGAGTAAATTTACCTACAAAATACTGCAGAGCATTTTTTTTCCCCTTCATAATGCATTTTTTTTGACCAGTGTGACTTGTAGTCCAAAAAATACTAATTCTCCAAAGCTGGAGCACTCTACAGACATTCATAGCAATTAAATGACATCCAATAAAATTAAAATATTTAATTAAATCATCCAGGTGGGGGGCCTGGGGACCTCTCCAGAAAATAACTGGCCATTTTCTGGAAATAAGCCAATTAATGAATGGAGGAATCATAATGTGCAGTAAGAATTTAACCTGGCTGTCTTTTTGGGACATGTAATGCTGTGCTGCTACAGCCAGAGGGCAGCATCCTCAAGGACCGTTTCAAGAGTCTGCAGAAGAGGAACCTGATAGAACCCAGAGAGAGAGCCAAGTAAGAATCTGCTTTAGTTTTACATAACGTTTCATCCTCGGGTCACGGGGACATCCAGATTCTTCAAAATGCGTGTTTCCTCAAACGAGCGTCTCCCTCGCCCTTAGGTTCAAGAGGAGGTACAAGCTGAAGTATGTGGAAAAGAGAGCTTTTAGAGCCATCACTTAACGCCGCGGAGCCTGAGAAGAAGGGAGCGCAGTGAACACCACAAATGCAACATCATGGAACCAACTCTAACCAACGTGAACCAAAGGGCATACACAACATAATGACCCGCTGACCTTTTCAGAAAATACCACCGTTTTCCACACAAATTAAAAATGGCAGTGTGGTTAGTGACTTTTGACCCAGTAACAATTGTTCCATTATTGTTGTAATGATCAGAAAATGACTTTTCATGCCAAGCCATGGTGTGCTACAATTCAAGTGTGATTTTCAACGAAGCACAACAACGAGCTCAGTCATGTCAAGTGTAATCGTGTAGCAAATTTCTTCAGATTTGAATTCACTGTCTAGAGCAGGGTATAAATAAATATCTGATATTTCTACTTCATTTGAGAGTTTTGACTTACTAACAGTTTATTTGACTAAACATTCAAAGTAGAGTGACTATTTTTATGTTTCTGATTTAAGGAAAATGCAAGCTGATGGGATTGAGTCGTCTTTGCATGGGGTAATTGATTTCAGGCCATCATCTTAAAAGCTTAATTGCCTTCAGTGCCCCCGCAGAGGTGAATGAGCCGCAACCACTTTGTCCTTGGTGCTTAGAGTTTCAGCAAAGCCTCTTATTCACTAACGGTGTGAAAATGTAGGCCTTTACGTTTGAGAGATGGCTGCATGCCTTTTCCCAACAGATATGTCGCTGCTTTCACACATGGAAGTGGAACACAGGTGCAGTGTGCCTGCAGTCATTTAATCCCACACTGCAGTTTGTCTTCAAGGAGCCAAACCCACGTTGAATGTCACCCTCAGTCACTTCATTTTTTGCTGTACTTGAGTACCGGTATTTATTTTTTTATTTTTTACTACCTACATTTGAAAAAGAGTAACTGTCCTTATTTTGTTGAAATAGACTAATTACTGTTTTCAACCCCCCCGCACATGATGATGATGTAAAAAAAAAAAAAAAATGTAAATGGAGTGCGGTATGAAGACAACGGCTGAGATCTTGATTGAGATTAAGGTTTTGCTCTTGTAAAGGAAAAAAAAAAAGAGCTGTGACATGGAATATGAATCAGGGCGCATCAGTGAAGACTCAGATAGGAAGAAGCAAGATATTTTCCATCCGTGACTTTAAAATTATTGTTTGATGTTAGCAACATGAATGATTCATGGCTACTTTGTGCCAGCCTAAAAAAACCCTACTTTTGGCTGTTTAGGGCAGGATATCGTCAACTCATTTAGCACTTTGTTTCTCTACTCACAACGTTGGCAGAGCTGTTATAACGTGATTGCATAAAGCACAGGTGTCAAACTCAAGTCCCGGGGGCCAGATCATTTGATGTGGCCCACGAAAGCAAATCAAACATGTTGACTTCTATGATGCTTGCTAAAATTTTAACCAACATTTCAAATTCTCACATGTAACAAGAGAGCTATTGTACGTTTTCTTGTTACCAAAACCCTCATTACAGTAACTTAAACTACAGTTGAATAAACCATTATTCTTGACTTCCTTATGTGGTTTCACAGTCATAACGGCCCTCCAAGGGAACCGGGAACTATAATGTGGCCCACGACAAAAAATGAGTTTGACACTCTTGGCATAAAGGATGAGCTAATGCTAGCTAGTTCTTAACATGAGCAACACAAGTGCCATGTTTCGTTTGTTGTATTAAGTATCCATACTTTTTAAGCACAGTGTGAATAATTCTTAAAAAAAAAAAAAAATCTAATTATTGAGTGAAATGAAGCAATGAGAGAGGTGCTTATTGGTGGAAAGTTTGTAGTGGTACAGAACTGCACTGCACTCATATGGTTGACCACTACAAATTACAATTGTGAACGTCAAAGTCAAATGCTGCAATACTACATACGATACCACTTTTAACAGCCTGACATTCAATTAACAGGGAGTTGTAGAAGGGGTCATGCCAGCCGTTTGGAGATGACGTAAAGGTAAACATGGATGACCACTTTTGTGCTCTGAAAAACGGATGATGAACTTCATTTGAGCAGCGAGCTGGAAGAGCACCAAGCTTCTCCAGCTCAGCTACGGCTCAGCAAGCCGCGCTCCCCTCATCAAGCCTCAGTGGAGAAAGCCAGGCGGGCATAAAGTATCACCATGAATTGTTCCGTCAGTTTTATTTAATCACTTTTGTTCTCAAGGGCAGTCTTGTGAACCTTTTTACTCTATTTTGTTAACACCCAGAGGAAATATGGGTGGTATACATATGCATGTACCCATTAGTCTTTGGCCTTTGTTCCTTATTTGCTGAATATACGTCTTTTACATAGTGCCTTTGGTGTTTGGAGCGAGACGCCACATAGATCAAGTGCCTTCTGTCGCAGGTATCTTGGTGAGAGTGGCAAGACTCAGAAAAAAACGGGCAGTCTGAATATTGCCAAATTAGTATTCATCCTCCTCTTTTGCACACACTGTCTCATGGCTTCTAATTTTTCCAGCAGCTGTTCCATTTCACTTTGGAGCAAAGCCTTGCCAACGTATTGATTCTGCCATCACTACATTACCCAAACTAGCAAGTAATAAAAAAAAAAAACAGAACATCAACTGGAATGAGGACTTTGCATCCCCACCTCCCAAAAAAAGAAAAGTAATTAAATTCAAAGCTGTCTGATCATTTGGGAAATCTGTTTGTTTTTTTTGTTTTTCCTCATAACAGACACAAGCAGATGGCAGCCAAGTTGTTTGTGTTTTGTCCCTCCCCCCCATTTTGTCTCTCTTTCTTCATGTGGGAGTCACAATGCTGCCAAATTGTTTTAGGATTGTGCGCGCGCGCGTGTGTGTGTGTGTGTGTGTGTGTGTGTGTGTGTGTGTGTGTGTGTGTGTTTTAAATAATGTGGCACGTATTGCTACCCCTGACCTCAGCTCACATCTGGAGCGTGTCAATGTGCTCGACTTCAGCACAGCATCTGTGACCCCGACACAGGCCAGAGGTGAGAGGCAGGTGATTCTATTTGTTACTGAATCATCATGACTTCTCTCTCTCTCTCTCTCTCTCTCTCTCTCTCTCTCTCTCTCTCTCTCTCCCTCTCTCTCTTTCACTCACACAAGCACAACATTTGGTTGTAAAATACTTCAAAAATGCCGATACTGTATTACATTATGGTCATGGTAATAATAATTTGTTATACATAATCCAATATTTCCTACTTTGCTCCATTTCAGTTACTGTTTTCGTCCGACTCTTTAATTGCAAGTTAATTCGATGATGTTTGAAACGTTTTGCACGTGAGATTAATGATGAATCATCTGTAATTTGGGGGGGGGATGTGTCAATTACTACAAATGCACAGGGTTTCAGAAACAAATACACTCACGGGACAATCCGTTCCATGACCTTTAATCAAATTAAAATAAATAAAATAAAATTACATTGATATCAATGCACAGCTTCCGATGTCTTAATTTGGCAGTATTCTTATAAATGAGTTTTTATTTTCAAATTTTGTTGCATGCACAAAAATGTTTCTATTTTGCTGCCTTCATTTGCCTTTGAGAGTCCGATTGACATGACGCATGTGTGTGTGTGTGTGTGTGTGTGTGTGTGTGTGTGTGTGTGTGTGTGTGTGTGTGCGCCACCCTATAATGTGATACTGCCTGTTTCTGTAAGATATTGTAAAAGTATTTCCATTATACAGTGGATATGAACAGTGAACAGTCTACACCCCCCTGTTCAAATGCCTTGCTTTTTTTGAAAGAGGTGCTGAAAAATTAACATCCGACAAAACGCGGTCGCACAAATGTGCACACTCTCTTGTAACCAGGATGTGGCTGTGTTTATAATCAACCAGGGGCTTAAATAGGTTTTATGGACAGTGAGGGCTTAGCCCCCAGGAGATGCACAAGATGTGAACAAATCTAGAAAGCACATTTCACAAGCAGCTAACAAAGACTAATTGTACTGTGTCAAAGTTTAAAATCAACATTCAATTTCAGTTATTTCAGTCCGTTTTTTTTAATCCAGTACACATCCATGCATCCATCCATTTTCCGATCCGCATTATCTTCACAAGGGCGGCGGGGGGTGCTGGAGCCTATCCCAGCCGTCTTCAGGCAGTAGGCGGGGGACACCCTGAAGTGGCTGCCAGCCAATCGCAAGGCACACAGAGACGTGTTCAATCAGCCTGCCATGCATGTTTTTGGAATGTGGGAGGAAACCGGAGTACCCGGAGAAAACCCACGCAGGCCCGGGGAGAATATGCAAACTGCACACAGGGAGGCCGTAGCTGGAAATGAACTCTGTAACTCTGCAGTGTGAGGCCGAGGTACTAACCACTGGACCACCGGGCCGGTGTGCAACATATAGTGGATTTTAAAAAAGTCTAGACAACGCCGTGCAATGACACTCATTGTGATATAAAACAAAAAATAAATAGCCTATGATAGATCACCCATCCATTATTGAATCGCTTTATCTGGATCGAACCCACGACCTCTGCACTGTGAGGTCAACGCGCTAACCACTGGATCACCGGGCCACATCCAGTACAAAAACATACATACAAAAAAAAAAAAGAAAATATGCATACATTGTTACAGTATATGCAAAACTGTATGCAAAATAGCATCACTGTATTGTCACAGGGGCAGCCCGGTAGTCCAGTGGTTAGCACGTCGACTTCACAGTGCAGAGGTACCGGGTTCAAATTCCAGCTCCGGCCTCCCTGTGTGGAGTTTGCATGTTCTCCCCGGGCCTGCGTGGGTTTTCTCCGGGTTCTCCGGTTTCCTCCCACATTCCTAAAACATGCATGGCAGGCTGTTTGAGCACTCTAAATTGTCCCTAGGTGTGAATGTGAGCGTCGATGGTTGTTTGTCTCTGTGTGCCCTGCGATTGGCTGGCAACCGGTTCAGGGTGTCCCCCGCCTGTTGCCCGAAGACAGCTGGGATAGGCTCCAGCACCCCCCGCGACCCTAGTGAGGATCAAGCGGTTCGGAAAATGAATGAATGTATTGTCACAAAGTAAGCCAATAAATAAACAAACAAAAAAACGTACCTTCTAGGAGTTAATAATGTAATGAATATCACATTAAGAGCTGAAATTGCCAGCGACCTGATGGGTTAAAGCATCAATGAATGCAGTCTGTTTTTTTAAGGCTGGCAGATTTCCTCTTTACTCTGTTGTGACCCCCGTGACTTTGGCTCACAGCACAAAAAACGTTTGCTCCGAAATACAATTAAAGTTATAGAGATCACAATTTGGCGCACATGTGCCTTATCTGTTGAAGAAAAATTTTACTCAGTGATGTTTTAATTCAGTAACAAAAGTAAGATTCAATTGGTAGTGTAGAAAATATGTGTGACATGCTAATTTGTTTGTGTCTCTTTGTAAAAATTACTTTCTTTAATAACGTTTTAGGTACTTCAAGTCGATGCACCTTGGTTGAAATGATTCGTATTTCATATCGATATTGAGTTTCACATGATTTGCTGACTGTCTGCATCACAGATGACTTTATTCTGTGAAAACCTTTTGATTCACATTCTGACATTCTGCTTTTAGGCAGGAGCTAACTCATTTTTATGAACAGCGGTCCTGAGGACTTTCATGAAACACGTCCATCCTTCACGTTCTCCTGCTCTCTTTTCTGCTTTTAATCATCGCTCCGTGTGCAAATAAGGCAAGCAATAGTGTAGTGAGGGCGCAGACTTTTATATGACTGGACTAACAATTGTGCTTTCTCGCTCTAGGCAGAGGTGAAGCCACCGGCGGCCATCTTACGCTGCCAGATTTAAATCCGTGAGTACCGTAAGTGCTGCAAGGCAGGTCACAGAGAAATCCTGGACTGTATTTAAAGTAAATAAGCATATTTTCGATATGACAAGGGCTCTTTGCCTAAGACCAGGGTTTACCAGCCATCCTCGAGGGCCCCTATTCTGCATGTTTTAGATTTTTCCCATCTCCAACTCACCTAATTCAAATGATCAAGAGCATTTATCGGGGTTCTACTGATCTTGCTTTGTGATAGAAAACAGTTTTCAAATGATTTGGCACAGTGGGTGACTGGTTAGTACGTCACAGTGCAGAGGTTATGGGTTTGAGTCCGAGCCTCAGCCTTCCTGTGTGGGAAAAACGGTTTCCTCCCACATGACAAAAACTTGCAGAATAAGTTAATTGAACACTCTAAATTCTCTTTAAGTGTGATTGTGAGTGTGAATAGTTGTCTATGTGTGCCCTTTAATTTGCTGGCAACCAGTTCAGGGCAGGGTGTACCCCGCCTACTGCCTGGAAACGGTAGGGATATGCTCCAGTAGGCCCGCAACCCACGAGAGGATAAAGCGATTCAATAATGGATGGGTGATTTATCAGAGGCTATTTTTTTGTTTGTTTTATATCACAATGAGTGTCATTGCACGAGGTTGTCTAGACTTTTTTCTATCCACTATATGTTCTTCAGCGACCCGGTGGGCCAGTGGTTAGCGCCTGGACCTCACAGTGCAGAGGTCCCGGGTTCATTTCCAGCTCCGGCCTCCCTGTGTGGAGTTTGCATGTTCTCCCAGGCCTGCGTGGGTTTTCTTCGGGTACTCCAGTTTCCTCCCACATTCCAAAAACATGCATGGCAGGCTCATTGAACACTAAATTTTCCCTCGGTGTGAGTGTGAGCATGAATGGTTGTTCGTCTATGTGTGCCCCTGCGATTGGCTGGCAACCGGTTCAGGGTGTCCCCAGCCTACTGCCCGAAGACGGATGGGATAGGCTCCAGCACCTCCGCGACCCTTGTGAGGATAAAACGGATCGGAAAATGGATGGATGGATGGATGGATGGATATATGTTGTGCAGTTATTTCCATTCTCTATATATGAATCCTTTTTTGCCAAGCAAAATGTATTACATCAGAGAGTATAGACACTTCAGTTACATCAGAGCATCCTCAATGTAAATGACTCCAAATCTTAATGAGCGCTGCTAATTTCATCGTCATTTCACACACAGTCACGCTGGTCAGCCAGTTACTCACTCACTCATTCCAACACATTTTCTCTCTGTCTCACACTCCCCGTGTGCCTGTTCAGTATCCTTGCATAGCCTCGTTGTGGCTCTGGAAGTGGGTAAACAGCAAGCGTTGTCTTTGCAGGGAAGCAATGATGCATGACACAGTGTGAAGGAAGGTGATGAGAACAGACAGAGACAAAAAAAAAATGATTGTGATGAGGAGAGTGTTAGTTGACAACGGTGTGATGTGGCTGTTTGAAATATTTTATAAATAATCGTGTGTGTGTGTGTGAGGGGGTGCTTGGGGGATAAATACGGTGATGAAGAGTGAGCGAGAGGAGGGGGAGGAGCAGAGAGATGAATCCTTTCTGTAATCCTCTAGACACACGCTCGGTCTGGCTGCCTACTAGCTCTGAGAGCAAGAGAGAGAGCGAAAGCGAGTCAGGTGGAGGGTGCAAAACAGAAGAACCAAGTGAAAGGAAGATGAGGTGAGGAAAAGAAAAGGGAGCTGTCTCTTATTAAGAGAAACAGAGAGATAGAGCAGGAGGCAGTGTGGTACAGTACTTGCACGACTTGAAGTGGAGCAATCAGAAGAAGCGGAGAGAGCGGTTGAGGGAGCAGGAGTGGAGGAGACTGTGTTGGAGGAAGGCAACAGGATGATGCTTCTCTTCTCCACTGCCTGAACCACAAGCAGGAGAGTAGGAAGGACTTACTCCAGCTTGGATGAGAGGAAAAGATGAAGAGGATGGGAGGGAGATGCATCTCTCTTTTCATTCAGGATCACATGAGCGTGTGGACATGACCCCGGTTCGGTGTGACAAGCTGCTCTCATCGAGTGTGTGGAGACAATGTAGTTGTGCTCGGGAGATGGATACACATTGACACTAATTGTGGCCGCTTCTTGAAAATCATCTGGAGGCAAGCACCGGTCCGAGTGTGTGATTAGATGCTGGCAGGTGCACTCCAAGGAAAGTGTGAAGACCCTCGTGGACAGCAGGTACGGACGGATTTAAAACGTGCACGCGCACAACACAAGCACCATTATTTTTTAATTTGAGTACGTTCTCGGCGTTTCAAGTGCATTCGTGGTTAAACCCTAGAGATGAAAAACAAGCAGATGAGCTATTGTGTCAAATCAGTTTCTTTGCTTTTTCAGGTTCACAACAGCACATTAAGTTGTACTGCCTCAGTGACACCCTCAAGTGCACTCGAAGAAGAGACTCGAACACCAACCCTGGTGTCTTTTTGAACGGTTGGCGGTCAGCCTTCTCACCCCATTCCCCGGTGTATGCCTCCAAACTGCAACCATGGGAGAATGGACCATCCTCGAGCGCCTTTTGGAGGCCGCCGTGCAACAGCACTCTACTATGATAGGAAGGTGAGAGTCCGCATGGATTAATATCAGCACATTCGGAACAAATCACTTCGCGCATCCTCCCAAGAGCTTGTGCTTCTTATCCTTAGCGGGTAGCGTGTTCAATTGCAAACGTACTTGTTGCATGTCCTGAGCAGGAATCAAGTCCTGCTTCCCGTTAAGTGATTGCTGGTCCAGAGGGGCTGTTGGCAGAGCCAGGGGGGCTTTAGCTTCTTTAATCCCCTTGAGTGACACGATGGAAGATTTAGGCAAACAGGAGAGACGCTATTAGCCCGCGCAAAGGCTTTGACTATCGCTGCTAGATGGGCGGTGTGAGGACATCTCGCCTTTAGAGTCCAACGCCCGCCTTCATTCACGTTCTCCGCTGTTGTCATACTCCACTGCCTCTCCTTCTCTTCACACGTGCGCACAGCAGTTGTCCCCCTTTTCCAGTCACTCGATTATGTCATTCCTAAATATAACTAAAAACGAGTCACTTGAGTAAGGTCATGAAGGATATGATTTATGAATTCAACTACATGCCGCAATGTCTTGTACTTTACTTTGAATAACTTGTTCTTGTAGGCCGCAGAAAAGGACATTATTTATGAGTGCGTTTAGCCCCATGGGCGCATCAGCTCAATAGTCAGTATAAAACACAAGTTTACAACTCGTCAGGGACTTAGAGTATTCCTGACGTCGGGGTTTTCTTGGGTCATGTTTAAAAAAAAAAAAAAAAATCAGGTTCAGCATTGAGTCCTTATTAGCATGTATGAATTAGCACTTTAAATGAACTTCCCCTCCCGAAAGCAAAGTGACTCACTGTGTTTTAGCAGGAATCTTGAATTATTGAGTGAAAACATGCAAGGCGTTTTATGAAGTAACGTTGAGTTGAAGATGAGTATTTTGCCCAGAGTGTAATATGTTCTCGAGTCTATTCATGAAACAGAAAAATGGGCTGCGCTCATGTAACCCGTGTTTGTACATTGGTACATCTTCCATATTATATTGACAATGATGTAATGAACCAACCCGGTCACGCTTATTTGCATTTGCATGTTATTATTTCACTTAGGCCGGGGGTCGGCAACACGCGGCTCCAGAGCCGCTTGCGGCTCTTTAGCGACATCTAGTGTCTCCCCGGAGCTTTATAAAAAATTTTGAAAATGGAAAAAGATTTTCATAGTAGGCTAATACTGTATAGCTCAAATAGATATAGATACATGTTGCAGCTCCGAAAAAGGAGAGCTGTGGTGTTGTTTTTTTAAAACGTACACTTTATTTATGCTTTTAACAGTCTCGACAAACACAGACACGTCTGCGTCCGACTCCGTGCCTTCTTTCTTCTCGTTCGACTCAAGAGGTGTTCAAAGACAGCCTCAGAAAAACGGAAATCAATGATCAGTTTACTGACACTAAGAAAAGCGAAAATAATGCACCAAAACAAAAAACAAAAAAAAATCAAGCGAGGAAATTACAAAATAAATTCTATGGGGGCGTTTGTGAACACACAACAAAGGAATGAATAACAAAAACAATTCTGAGACAGTCCAGTCTCCTACATACATACAGCATGTGTTTCCTTCATTGTAAGTTTTATAGAAGGCTTTTATTTTTTCGCGGCTCCAGACATATTTGTTTTTTGGGTTTTTTTTTGTCCAATATGGCTCTTTCAACATTTTGGGTTGCCGACCCCTGATTAGGCTGTGAAAGTCAAATATGACCTGTTGACGGTTTTACTTTGCTGCTCGTGTTGTGTTGCCATGAGACGCCGGAGATACATTTGAATTGTGACAATGCCGCAAGCGCTCTCTGAGACTGATACGGAAAAGAGATTGAAAGGAAAAGTTGTGAAGTAGTAAGAGCACAACGACAAATTGAGAAGAAACTCGAGGAACGTTGAGAAGCAAAAGAGAGTGAGAAGCTGAGCCGAAGAGCTGCAGAAGGCGACCGCAGCTGATGGAGAAATAGCCAAAGTGAAGGCAAAAGAAGCAAGGAGCACTTATTCGCAGATAAGCACGCAGGCACATGGCTACTATCTGCTGGGCGTTGGGAAGAAGCCAAGAGGACTGTCTCGTCACGAGATGGTGCTGTGTGTCGTGACCTCAGCGGGAGGCGGGGGAGGGGGGGGGCGCTCAGGACATCTGGAGGCAAAAATCCTCCCACAAATTTCTGCCGTTTATTTTTGTTGCCCAGATAGCCGTGATGTTACAAGAGCGGAACTTGAAATATCAAATCGTGACAGAGTGAAATAAGCACGGAATCAGTTACCTATGGATGATTAGAGCCATGCTGCGTTTATTTATTTTCTCCGATAGCACCGTCAAACCAAATGGGAATGAATCTGAAATATTTTTCAGAATAGATGAAGAGTTAAGTGAATGACTGAATCGTTTCTCGCTTGGGCCGGGTTGTCACATTTTGCCTTCATGAGATGACAGTGAGTCACTTAATAAGTGCTCATAAGAGAAAACTGCAGCGCTCGTGTGTGTGTGTGTGTGTGTGTGTGTGTGTGTGTGTGTGTGTGTGTGTGTGTGTGTGTGTGTGTGTGTGTTCAGCTAAAATGGGTTTCTGTTCAGGGGTTTTCAGCGTGTGAGGGAGAGCCCTTGTGTATTCACCTGTTACCCGTGATTTATTTCTGCCATTACTGGCTGCGGTCCAGCTGGAAATCGACTTCCACAGGACCACGTGGCATTCTGTGGGAGTGCGTTCCCGTCGGTACACAGGCGCCATTGAGGATAAGGATTCTCTATACCTAACCGCTGTCAACACATCACTCATGATGTCTCTATAGTCTTTTGCCCACTGGTCCCAGTCTCATTTGTGAGCCACTATTGGCCACCGTAGCACTGCGAAATATACAAATGTGTCCTCTCACTCAACGGATATTGATTTTCACTAATGACAAAGGAAGTGCAACGAGACAGAAGGTGCGGGAGACTGGCCTTTGAGCTTGTCCGTTTGCATTGCAATGGTACTCACGGCTCACTGCAAATGGAAGTGAAGAATGAAAGCGTTAAGAAGCTCAAGAAAGTTCAAGTCATAAAATAAGACATCACTACCTCAGAGAGCAGCTGTTTTTTTTTCTGTGCTCTCCCGCTTTGTGGGATTTTCTTCATTAAGTGTATTAATATGATCAGCTATCCCGTTGAGTTTCCATTAATTAGAGCAGATGACATAGTTATATCCATCCATCCATCCATTTTATGAATCGCACATCCTCACAAGCGTCACGGGGTGTGCTGGAGCCTATCCCAGGTGTCTTTGGGCAGTAGGCGGGGTACACCCTGAACCGGTTGCCAGCCAATCGCAGGGCACACATAGACGATCGCACATCGACCATCCGTGCTCACACTCACACCTAGGGACAATTTAGAGTGTTCCATCAGCCTGCCACTCATGTTTTTGGAATGTGGGGGGAAACCGGAGTACCCAGAGAAAACCCACGCAGGCACAGGGAGAACATGCAAACTCCACACAGGAAGGCTGGAGCCGGAATCGAACTCGGCACCTCTGCACTGCCGACACACTAACCAGTCGACCACCGGGCCGCCTTGACATAGTTAAAGTCATAACATATTTTCATTCAATTTCATATAATAAGATATAGCCGCTGTTTGTTGTTTGCAAATTAGGCGTTATACTCTAATTAGGGCAAGCCATTTACAATATTGCTGTTCGTTAATTAAGGCAAGGACCAAAGGCTAAGGCTAAATTTTGAAGTAAACAATACATTTAGCCTGGAGCAATTTCCTGTCCAGAGTGAGGCTTTGGTTGAGGACAACAATCTGTTTGTGTCTTTTTTGGTACACTTCTGTGCAGGTGATCAAGAGTGCGTCTGTTCTTTCTTACATAAGTGGCTTTTTTTAATCATGACATAGACTGACCCGCTCTGCCTACTGCATGTCTGCATGACTGAATCAAATGGGCTTCGTCACTCAGGTATAATCGTCCATCTAGGAAAGCATGCGTGCGTGTCTGTGGCACATGTCCTCTTTCAGCGGTCCTGGTCTACACCAACCTAAAACCAATATTAATCAGTGAGCAGTATTTACATGCGCCTCTGTGTGTGTTTGTTGATGGGCACAGCTCTGTCATCACATGACCTTTAGATCATTACATGCCGTTGTCTAGCAAATCCCTCCGAAGCACTCACTACCCCCGTGGAGTTGATGGATGATTTTGTTTGTATGGCAGGAAGCTGCTCTGGCAAACGTGAGCAGAGAAAGAAAAAAGACAAAGAAAATAAAAGGCACGACACCAGAAATAGGCTGCGCAATTGCAATAGTGTTTTTGAGTGACTCGTCACAGCAGGCCAACTGAGACCTTTGCCTTTCATTCATTTCATCCCTTGATTTTTTTTTCCGCTTTCACACTTCCTCCATCCATATGTAATCACCCCTGGGTAGCCGTGGGCTGTAATGTCACTGCCTTTACGGTAAGGCTGAAAGAAGCTTGTTATTAAAATGACCTAACAAGCTCCACGGGGGGAGATTATGAATCACGGGTGGGAGGCATTTTGTACTGTATCTGAGTATGCCCTACTGCAACTCATTTTAGTCATCCATCTGTAAGCATGTGTCAAAATATTTCAAATCTAAGTGTTTAGAATGATAAATAATTGAACAATTGCAGTTTTAATGGTGTGAACGGCAAGTGTTCCCAATATGAATGTGCTGGTAAGGCCCAATGTTGGATTCTGAAGAGTCCAGTTATTGTTACCATCCATCCATGCATCCATCCATTGATCCATCCATAAGGTTCTCGATGACTTCAAGTGTCTGTTATCAAGATGAAGACATTGCCAGTCAGCGTCCTCAATGGGCTGACCAGCTGTAAATCCTGAGATGAACACACCACCGTGAAAAACAACCCAACCGTCTTCCGAGATGAGGGATGTCATGATTGAACAGGTTGACTTTTGGCCAGCTTATATATCATTCACTGAGGGGCAAACATGCCACCACACTTGAGGCCTTCATGGCAGAAGTGATTTCCGTACATTTTTTTTTTGGTACTCTTGT